ATTATATATTAAAGAAAGATCTAGCTGATTTATTGTTCTTTTTTTTCACTTTCCACAAAAAGGGACTGTAACCAGTATCATTCTGGTAATAAGTATTATGAAATAAGTATGGGCTGTGCAGCATAGCTATGTGGTTTTTCTAAATGTTCAGGAGCACCTAACAGTAAACACAAACAGTGGCTTTAAGGATATTTCTGTACTGGGGTGTACTTTGATGGTGAAAAGCTGTAACATGCTAAATGTAGAGGTTTCTGTGCAGCAGAAACCATACTGTACAGAGACACTCCGCCTATAGCACTGTGGTCAAAAAGCTGATTGAAAGGCATATTAGATGCAGAAAAGTGTGTTGAGCTAGTAAATTTTATTTTCTGTATGCTTAGTTATTTCTAAAACAACCATTTTCATGTACATATGTATATATATGTTTCAACAATTGCATTGCAATTTCTTCTTTTTTTTTAGAATTTGAGTGAAGTTTTGTTACCTATCTCATTCATTCCAAATATCAAAAGCCATGATAGACAAATTTAGCAAGAACTATCAATTATGCATACTTGAGGCCAGGGCTGTGGAAAGTGTGTTTTTAAAATGCTTTTCTAATTGTATTTAATGGCAATCCATCTTTTCTTAACAGTACATTGGCAGAGGCTAAAGTGATTGAAATGACCATAAGAGGAATTACACATTATACCTTTGGGAGAAAAAGTGGTATGGTATTGGCACAGAGCCTCATCCTTCTGAGACTGACTAGCAAATAGGGATTAGCGATATTTAAAAGTCATGTTTTCCATGGCCTGACATGCTGGGATTTTAAGGTAACTGGGGTTGCAGTTAGCATTAACTTGCATTAGAAGTGTGACAAGATAAAACAGCAACAATATGAACAATGTACAGATGAATCTTCTTGCCTCAGCATTAAAGTGCTGAGGTGCCACTGCTTATGGGTATTAAGGAATGGTAGCAACAAGTGCAGGATTAGACAGACATATAAACTTGGTTGTGTGCCTGTCCTTGGTATATCAAATACCTTGACTACTTGCTAAATTTGATTAATTATAGGCTTAGCAAAACCATATTTTCATCTTAAAAATCCTTGTCACCAGAAATTATTAGAGAATAACATAGGTGTAAAATAATCACATACATTTAATGGAAATTGTACATGTGATGAAACAGAAGAAGGAGAAAAATGAACCACACAATTAGCTTAAACGGCTCTTGGTAGTTTCTTGTTTCAAGTCATAGATCTTACTGGAACTTGTGAAGCTAGTGCAGAAAAAAAAGAGGAAAAAAATTATTTGATGTGCAGGTCTTTCATTTTCAAAACAGTCTCCATGGAAAATTATGGTTTTGTGCAGAATAATTATGTTTTTCATACTGCAGTATCAGCACTTCATAGCACCACTAAATGAAAACGTCCCATGGCCTTTACCTGTACCTCACGTTTTGTGCAGTGATGATTAGGTGTATTTCCTCCCTTGTCTCACACAGACACACACACACGCACCGATAGACACTCTGTCTGTTTTGGAACTGTAGTTATATTTATGCATTTACCTTCTGAACATATTCAGTTCAAAGGCTACAGCAGTCGTACATATTTCAGAATAAAAGGAGAAGACTACAGAGTGCAGCTTGGGGATTTT